AGTATATGTATATATAGATGTATGTGCTTTTTTCAGATTATAGCAAAAAATACTGGTGGTATGGTTCCTTGAATAAAAATAGAACTCCTTAGGACAGGAGGAGGAAAGGATGCTAGGGAGGAACCACATCCAGTCCCAAACAAGATTTATCAAAACCAAAACCAAACAAAGAAATGAACTTGCATATACTCTCATGAATTTCCTAAATACTGAGGACAAAGAAAAACCCATAAACTTTGACAATGAAATAATCGGTTATTTTGCAAGAAAAGATAATCAGACTAGAATTGGATAATAAATCTGAAGGAGACTAAACCCCTTCAGATTTATGCACTGAACCTCAATATTATTATTATGTAAAAGTAAAAGGATTTTAGACATATAGAGACTCAGAAAAACATCTTAAATTTTGCTATGGGCTGAATAGTGTCCCCTAAATGTTCTGTAAATCTCAACTCGTTGTTAAGTGCTCTCGAGTCAGTTCCGTTTCACAGCAACCCTATATAGGGTTTCCAAGGAGCAGCTGGTGGATTTGAACTGCCAACCTTGTGGTTATAATCCCATTTGAGAATGGGTTTTCTTTGCCGTGTTAATGAGGCAGTATTAGTGTAGGGTGTGTGTTAAATTAATCTCTATTAAAAGAGGTTAAACAAGCAAGCAAGAAGCAGAGGTGGAGAGGAAAGATATTCAAGTCACATGAAGATCGCCAAGGAGCAGAAGCGCAATAGAGAATAGGACTTTATCCCAGAGTTGACTGGGATATCTAAAGATCCACCAGGTCTGTCAGGTTTCTGGACTGTGGTGGCTTTTCAGAGGCTGGCAGCAATGCCAATGTTATATCAAATACCAGAAGGGTCAACCATGGTGGACAGGTTTCAGTGGAGCTTCCAGACTAAGACAGACTAGGAAGAAAGGTCTGGTGATCTATTTCTGAAAATCAGTGGGGAAAAAACAACAACCCTATTGAATAAAAGAGAATATTGCTTGACTAGTCTCATATAGGATATGCCAACAACTGTCATGGTTGTGCAGGACTGGGAACCACTGGTTGTTCTTTTTCTGCATAATCACCATGATTCAGTGCCGACTCAATGGCAGCTAACATACCATAGTTTGAAAATCAATTATCAGCAGAATGAAGATGAACAGCAGTTTAGCAGGAGTGAAAAAAGGAAGAGAAAGTTTTCTGATTACTCCAACAAAAGAGAAGGAAATAAGGTATAATAAATACTAATAGCAAACAAAATGGAAGATATCCAAATACCAGTTATTGTATTTCAAAACAGAGTTTCAGTTTGAATTTAAGAAGACACTAAAGCCAGTCATTCGAGCTCATAAGAAACATACCTAAAGTGAAAAAGGAAGGTGGAGAATAAAGGGGTGAGCAAACTCAATAGAGTGACTGTACTAATATTAAGAAAAGGAAAATTCAAGACCAACGGCACAGAGAGATTATTAGGTTGTTTAGTAATAAAGCTGCAATCCATAAAGGACCTGAGTCATAAACCTTGTATACAACAAAATACATAATACAAAAATGCTTACAAATAAAAGATCTTGAAACTATGGTCCTTACACATCCTTAAGGCCTGGAATTGAACTCACCCCATGGTTCAACTCTCAGTCAAATGACACGCCGTCCTATAAGGGGTTCTGGTGGCGTGGTGGTTACCAGTTGGGCTGCTAACCTCAAGGTCAGCAATTCGAAACTACCAGCAGTTCCATGGGAGGAAGATGAAGCTTTATGCTCTCATAAAGATTTGCAGCCTTGGAAACTCTATACAGGATCGCTTTGAGTCAGAACTGACTCCACGGCACATAACCAACCAACCATAGGTGTACAGTCATGCCAGGGAGGTTTGCACTCCTTAGAACAATCAACCATATGTGATCAAAAGGGCACGTGTGCTCAGGGATAAAGTTTGGAAGGTAGGAAGGGATAATAAAGGGATAAATGGACAAGGTTAAGACAGGAGGGAAGTGGGAAGAATGCTGTTACATTATGGCAACTGCAACCGATGTCACAACGCATGTATGAACTGTTGAATGGAAAACCAATTTATTCTATAAACTTTCATCCATATCAAAATAAAAAGTCAATATAAGGAAAAACTTTTATAAAACCAGATTTTAATACACCTCTTCCAAGTTTGATATATTAAGTAGAAAAGAAGCAAGGATAGAGAGAATTCTAATTATTAAATCAATAACTTATGCTTACAAATATTTATGAAATGTTTGACTGTTTTGGTTAGGCACTACTGAGTCAGTTCTGACTCACAGTGACCCTATGTACAACAGAACAAAACAATGCCTGGTCCTGTGCCACCTTCATGGCTTTTATTACGTCTGAGCACATTGGTGCTGCTACTGGGTCAATCAAGCTCCTTGAGGATCTTCCTCTTCTTTATTGACCTTCACTTTACCACTACTAATGAATAATCTTTTTAAAAATATATAATCTTTTTTTATATACATAAAATATAAGCAAATATCACTTAGGTCTTTAAAAAGTTCATTGAAGAATGGAATTAAAAAGTAAAAATAATATAAACTATTTCTCAACATAAGCTCCGTCAACTTTTTCAGTCAGAATTGTGCCAACTGAATCCACGGAGATGTTCAAGGTGTTGGCTATTGTTACCACTGCTAATCCTCATTCCCCTTCAATTAGGGCATGAACAAGATTATTTTCTCATAAACTGATGTGGACAGTCTACAGCTGAGGGCTTCATTTTCAATATTGCCTCGTCCTTTTTTTAAAATGAGTTACCTAGTTGTAAACTGCTGGTTTCTGTGAGGCACTGTCACCATAAACTTTTGGCAAATCATTAATGATTTCAACATGCTTCCACCCAAACCTCACCATAAATTTAATGTTTGTTTTTGCTTTGCTTGCAGCAGAATTCATGTTGTTCTGATTAAGGGGTCTTTTCAAACTGATGTCCTATCCTTAGTGCCTCAAATTAGATAGACCCTCTTCAGACATGCTATAACAAGTCTATTTTGTTACACAGACCAAAAAAATGAGTTTCTTTTTATACAAAAAAACTTCTGAAGTCAATGCATAGTTTAATAATATGCATTCTCCATGAACTTTTTGAAAACCCATTGTCTATTTCACCACAAACCTTAAAAGATGCCAAAAGTAGAAAAAGTATACAGGCTGTGTTCTCTGACCATAACTCAATACAATTTTTATAATGACAAATAAGATGACCCCAACACTCAAACATTTGGAAATTAGTAAATACTCACCCATACAGTAAAAAACAAAACAAAACATGTAACACTATTTCTTTGAAATTCTAGTACAGTATATAAAACTCTGGCAAGTCTATTAAAAGGAGAGAAAAAGGGAAGGGAGGAGTAGAGGGAAAGTAAAATATAAAACATAAAGAATGAGAAAGAAGATACAACTTGATAAGAAGACATTAAAAAGATAACGGAATGATATGTGACTCACTGCTAGTAAATTTGAAAATCCAGAGATGACCTTTTTTAGTGTAAGGGCATTTCAATTCCAGGCTCAGACCTACCCTGTGACTTCATGGGAGAGAGACCTGGCGATCTGCTCCTGTAAAGATTTGTTGTTGTTAAGTGCCAATGATTCGGTTCCGACTCAAAATGACGCTTTATAGGGTTTCCAGGGAGCGGCTGGCAAGTTTG